GTCCGCCTGCGGCTCCACCACACGCTCAGGGGCAGGGACAGGGCTTCTCCTCCTTCCCAAGGCGTCAGATGCAGCCAGGGCTCCCAGCGCCGATCACGCCCCATCTCCCAGCCACTCCCCCACCCCCTGCCAGGCTTCCATCCGGTGCCCAGCCAGAAATCGAGGAAATACCGGACATTGCACATGTCCAGTATTTTCTCGATTTTTTTACTGGACTGAAAGCCCCAAAACCGGACTGTCCGGTAGAATACCGGACACCTGGCAACCCAAGGGGGCAGCAGCCTTCTTCAGTCTGCCCCTGCCCTGCAATCAGCATGTCCCTCACAGGGGGTTGGCTTCCCATGCTCCACTGCCCCCAGATCCTGAGAACCAAGCCTCTTCTAGGGCATAGATGCCTAGTAGGAAGGGGGGGCAAAGGCGCTTCCCCACCCCTTCTCATTTAGGCCCTGCCCCTTCCTGTTTAGGCCCTGTCCCTTCTGGGGTGGCCCAGGGCTACTTCAAAAAATGTTGATGTGGCCCCCAGGCAAAAATTTTTGACCACCCCTGATCTAGACCCTAATTTTTCAGCTTGGGTCCACCTCCAGTAGTAACTAAAGAGACTAGGGGTTGTATTCAAACAAAATGCAGGCTAGGGCTGCACACAAGAGGTGTGGTCATGCATTATTTCAAGTTATTTGTGTTGGAAGTTGTCTTGTGGATCATGTAGACCAGCAGGCAAGAGCTGGAGTCATGATCACTCTGTCCTTCCCATCTTGTAAACAGCTTATGTGGAAGGAGAATTCTTGTATGGAAAAGGTTGAGAACACAGCTGCTTGGCAAATGATATTTCTGATGAAAAAAAGGAAAAATAAGAAAGCATTTGGAGGGTGATTGCTGGGATTTTTTTGGTTTATAAAAATAGACGTGTTGGGTTGGGGTTGGTTCCCCTTTCCAAGGGTCTGAAAGTGTTTTCATTGACAAACCAGCATGTTTCACAGGAAATAAAGGATTCCCATGAAAACATGTGTTACTTAAAAAAATGTAAAAACCCAGCCAGATGTCACAGCTTGCAGAACCACTGCCCTGGCTGTGCCTCTGCTATCAGTTGCATTTTCCTAAGCTCAGTCTGGCACCTTCTCTGCATCGCTAGACTTGGAGGTACTTGGAATTCATTTGATTCATAGTATATCCTGTTTTTCCTACTGGTGATCATGTGAAAAAATGTATCTAGTAAAGTCAGGCACTGCCATATGTACTAAGAGGGAAACTGTAAACCTGTGAATTCTCCTGTCTGGTTTGCATTGCAAGATGGCTGTAGTAGACCGTTAGTCAATTCCCTCACGGATGGAGCACTTGTTGTTGCCACTGGAGAGAGGAATGTCCCTGAATCCAGCCTACCACATGCCACGGAAAGCCACACCGGCAATGTGAGAGGAGTTTATTCAAGTAATTTAATTCCACTCAGATAATTTAGTCCTGGGCATGAGTGTTTGATTTAGCTAGAAGGTCATAATGTCCTTGCAGAGAAAAGGGGTGAGTGGCACTGATATGAGAGAGAGAGAATTGGGAGATACAAACTCCTGTGACTCCTGGTAGGTGGGCAGATTCCACATTACACCAGTTCCCCCCAGGGCTACTTCATTGGAGTCCCTGGAGGTACAGTCCGAGAGCTTAACATTAGTGTAATGGAGAAGAGAGGAGAGATCAAGCTAGGGATTTGAAGGACTAGTTGAGAGGCTAGTCGACTAGTCGCTCCCCCGGCCCTTGCTGCCTCTATCAGAAAGAGGCAGCAAGTGGGGAGGGGAAGAGAGGAGTGGATGCTTCAAAGTGGTAGCGCCAAGTGGAACCTGGGGCCACACTCCGGCCTCCACGTGACACTGCTGCTTTGAAATGCTGCGTGCAGCCCCGAGCCAGCTGGGGTGTCCTGGCAGTGCCACATGGAGCCAGGGGTCAGTGGGGGAGTCCCCAGCTGATCCCAGGCTCCAGGGGGGGCTGCTGCTTTGAAATGCCGCAAAGAGCCTGACGCTGGGTTCCCCGCGGCATTTCAGAGGAACAGTGCCACATGGAGCCCGGGGTCACCACGCGGCGCTTTCGCCTTTGTGTAAGCGGGGGATTGGTCCCGCTATTTTGAGGAACTTTCCTGGCTTCTATACCACCCCGGTGAAATGGACCAGTGAAAGGATCTGAGTCCCCGCTCCCACTTCCTTTACCCCACAGCTTCCCTGATCCTGAGGGCTCCCCCTCCACTCTCCTGAGTAGCAGAGTCCTCGAAACCCCAACAAGGCTGGGCCCAGGTTTCCTGGGGCTTAATCCCCGACCTTGTAGTTACTAGGGGCAGGAGTTAGGGTGTCCCCATTCTGAGGTGCTCTCTTTACACTGCAGGCTTTCTTGGCCCAGTGATGATTTCATAAGGTTCAAAGCAAATACAATTTATTAAACATCAACTGATTAAAGAGAAAAGAATAAGAAAAAAATGAGAATGGTTAAATGAGAACACACAGCCCTGCTCTGCAGCACAGTGACATCAAAACAGCAGTCTGCAGAGTGTAAGGACAGTCTCTTCCTTATAGGCCCCTTAGAGGCCCTGGAAGTGCTGCAGGGGGGGCTGCAGGCTGGACACGCCTGCTCTGGCAGTGACCACACAGCCCCTTAGAGGCCCTGGATGTGCTGCAGGGGGGGGGCTGCAGGCTGGACACGCCTGCTCTGGCAGTGACCACACAGCCTCAAGCTCTAAGTGGCCAGACTCCTCTCCCAGTCTGGCCTGCTGGGCCTCTTGGCTGGTGATATCTCCCTGCCCAGAGCCTCTCCCCACACTTTGCAGTTCCCAGCTGCTCACCACATCCAGCTGCAGGCTGTGCTGCGTGGCCAGTCTCCAGCTCCTTGCGTTGCTTCTCTGTCCCTTTTGGCTCTCTGAGCACTGCCAGTCTGCTGCTCAACACAGGGTCTGCGCTCCATAGACTGTGTGTGTCTGACTCTGTTGCTGCAGGACTTCTCCATACAGCTTGCTCCTCTTAGCTGTCTCTCAGCTCTCTCCTTGCTCAGAGAGACCCAGAACAATCCCAGCTCACAGGGAGGACGGGGCCTGGCCTCTCACTTTCCTCACTGGCCTGTCCAACCTGTCAATCAGGCTGAGCTGGAGTGTTGGCTGCTTTCCATTGTCTCTGGGGTCTGTCAGTCTCATGGACCCTTCCCCTTTTGATACTCTGGCAAACCAAAAACTCCCAAAAACTACCTTTGAAGTAGGAATAAGAGCCTCCGGAAAAGGGCGCTTTTTCCGGAGGATCGGGGCCAGTGTAGACGCTCTTTTCCGGCTTTTTTAAAAGCCGGAAAAAAGCGGCGGACAGTTTTATTTAAATGCCGCGGGGGATATTTAAATCCCCCGCGCATTTCCCTACTACGACTCATGAAATTTACATGCCCCTTCCGGAAAAGGGGCCAGTGTAGACTTAGCCCCACAGAGTTTTAGTAAGGGGCTAACAGTCCCCTTACATTTGAATTATAGCAACAGCCCTGTTGTTACACTTCAAAGGCGGAGGCGTCCTATCAACTAATCAAATAGTTGATGCAAAATTCATTGACTATTCGATTAGTCAGTGACTCACAATTTAACATTCCTAGATCAAGTCCGCCTGCATTTAATTTAGCTCCATTTTGATCCCACTTTAAAACCAGTAACACTGGGAATGAATATGAGCCAGACACAAAACCACCAGCCAGGAACACACAGGATTCACTTCTAATGGGGGAAGAAAGATTACCTTAAAATTGCCCATCGGAGGGTTTTTACACCTATTCCTGATACAGCTGGTGCTAGCCAGTGTCCAAGACAGTATCCTGGACTACATGGACCATGTGTCTGACCCAGTCTGGGAATTTCTACGTTCCTCTCTAGAAACTTAATTGAATCTTTTATAAAGTGTCACCAATAGCAACCAAGTGTTAATTTTAGAAGTTCTCCTCTGCTGAGAGATAGAGGGTCACAATCTCGTTAAAACCAGGGGACCTAGGAGGATTTTCACAAGGTAAGCAATTGGTACAGCATCATCACCAATCATAGAATCCTAGAAATGGAAGGGGACCTAGAAAGGTCATTAAATCCACTCTTCTGCACTCCCGGCAGGACCAAGCACCACCCAGATCATCCCTGACAGGAGTGTGTCTAACCTGCTCTTAAAAATCTCCAGTGATTTTTCCACAACCCCTCTGGGCAATTTATGCCAGGGCTTAACCACCTGGCAGGAAGTTTTTCCTAATGCCCAACCTAAACCTCCCTTGCTGCAATTTCAGCCCGTTGCTTCTTGTCCACCAATATTTGATCAGATTATATGAATACAGACACACACAACCAGCCCGTCTGCCCTTCAGCTGCAGGAATAGGGGTCACAATTCAGCTCCCTTATTATACTCGGCCACCATCTATATTTTACTGTGAACAGCATGGCTGCAAATGTGAAAACAATAAGACCAAGAGACCTACTGAAGGGAAACTTTCAGAGAAGTTCTATGTTCAACATCTGAACGCACTGTCCTCCACCAGCACAGATATGCCCTCAAATAGACAACAGACACAAGCAAAGAGGAACAGCAGAGTACACAGGTCAATCCATCTACAAGGCCCAGGGGAGCAGGGAGCCTTCACTGGACCCTGGGCAAAGAGGGGGGGGGCAGCTCTGTGCTCCCGGAAGGGGCGGGGCTTCAGGCAGCAGGGGCGTGGCCAGGAGCTGTCAGCCCTTCTTGCCGCCCAGAGCATGGCACCTTTCCTCCCTAACCCTCAGAGTCACACAGAGCAAGCGATTTAAAGGTCCCGGGGCTTCGAATCCCCCCACAGCAGCCGAGAGCCCCGGGACCCTTTTGAATAGCCAGGCCCTGGGGCAACTAGCTGCTCCCCTCCCCCCTTCCCTATCCGTGGGCCAGACGAGGCCTCATGAGCGATGGAAACTGCGAAGCAGCACAAAGTAAGTACACTATTTATTTATTTATTTATTTATTTTTATGTCTTTGATTGTTTTTCCTTTCCTTTTTCTAATTTTTTTTTAAATAATTCAATCTCCCAGCAACCACTGGTTTTACTACCTCCCCAGAAAGGGGTTTTGAAACAAAGAATGCTGTTTGGCAAGAACAGTATAAATTTTAAAATAGTCTCTGTGAACTTTGTGAGAACCACTAAATATTTCACCGAAGCCAGACACTCCTCCCTTCCCTCCTTCCAATCATACGGCAGTTAAAACGTCAGACGATTATTATTGTTATGGGGGAGAAAAGCAATAACAAAGAGCCTTTGGCAATGCTACCTACTGGGCTAAGAATCCCTTGCCAAGTTTCCCTTAAGGAAAATGAAATACACGGAACTCAAGTCTGCATTAATCAATTTAAAAATTAAAGAAAAAGATGCAGATATTCCATTAAGAGAACTGTGCAAGTCAGATAGTTAAACTACCTGTAATTATGTTTGGGTAATACTGCTTTAATCCTCTGTACATGCAGGAGGTAGCAGGATCAGAAACAGAATCCTAAAGCTCAACAAATATAAGCTATTGTACATAATGCAAAGTACATACTGGGATTCACTCCGCTGGGCATTTCATTATTTCAGATTAGCTATTAACAGAAACTTAGAGTCCTTTGAGATTTGACGTCGATACTTTAAAACCTCTCTCGAGTTGACAAAAAGCTTTAAAAAAAAAGCAAAGAGCTACAAAATCTCTTGACAAGATGGAGATTAAACATTAAACCTGAACATCTTTGAGGACTATGCATCAGGGTTTGGCAGTTTCTTGAGAGCATTATGTGACACACGGTAGTAATAAATACCATTTGGGTCAGCAATTCTCGCATACAACTGAGAAGTATTACATTAACTGATAGGTATTTTGGCAGTACTTTAAGATTCAGATTCACATGAAATCCAAAATGTCTGCCATTTTTACCTATTTATTCCTTCCCAGAACATAAAAACTAAGGGTCACCAAATGAAATGAATAGGTAGCAGGTTTAAAACATACAAAAGGAAGTATTTCTTCACACGATGCACAGTCAACCTGTGGAACTCCTTGCCAGAGGACGACATGACATCCAAGACTGTGACAGGGTTCAAAAAAGAACAAATTCATGGAGGATAGGTCCTATTAGCCAGGAAGGGCAGGAATGGTGCCCGTAGCCTCTGTTTGTCAGAAGCTGGGAATGCGTGACAGGGGAGGGATCATTTCATGATAACCTGCTCTGTTCATTCCCACTGGGGCACCTGGCATTGGCCACTCTTAGAAAACAGGAATCAGGGCTAGATTGACCTTTGGTATGATTCAGTATGGCCGTTCTTCTGTTCTATTCTTATTACTCCCCCGGTATCATTACTGATAAGCAGTCGATTGGCACAGGCAGCAGGGTGTTACCCACCCATCCTAGCAACCCACTTTGCAAAGTGTCAGCAACCTCATAAGAGGGAAAGCAGGACAGAATCAGTCCCCCAGGTTTCTCCCATCCCTAAGCTCGATGGCTTTCTAACCGTGGATAGCCTGTTCCCGGAGCCTGCGGTGTGTATCTACAACCTGCTTTGAGCACCGCACATGTGAACAGGTGACTGTAGGTATGCACTGTCTGTGGTGCAGATCTTTGTTCTATCGAGGCAACTGTGCTCTCCGCTAAATGAACGGTTCTCCCCTTGAAAACAGTGCTGCAGAACTTTTGGTACTCTGAGCAGTCTGTGTCTTTCTACGCGGTCCACAAAACAGGAATGAAATCTCCAGGTGCACCTGAGAATCAGACCTGCACTTCAGTGGCATCACAGCGCTGTCTCCAGCAGCGATCTGTGCTAATTAGGATTTGACAGGGTCGTGTGTGCGCTTCTACCTTGCCTCCCCAGCAGCACAACTGCTGTTGCCTGAATTCCACGTCCAAATAGGAAATTTCTAAGCAGGCCAGGAAACTAACCTGCCCTCACTGAGGGATTTTTGTGTGTTTGTTTTTGTACCCTTTCTTGGAGCTCAAACGCCAACCCGCCAGAGAACAAAGAGCGTACATTCTCATCCCCTCCCAAAGTCAGGCTGCAGGAGGGCCAGTCAGGGGCTGTAACAAATTGGGGATACTTCCAGGACTTAGGCTATTTTCAAGCAGGAGAAGGCACCAAGGAAGGGGTTTCAAAGAGCTACTGTCACCTCAAGGGCAACACAGGACACTTCATAAACCAACTGTGGCGTGCAGGCAGTCTTTGAGTTGGGCTTCTTCCCCGCCCGTCATTGGCATGGAAAACAAACAAACCCACAAACCAACCCCACCCTCCGTCCTCAGTGATTCAGGAAGTTGCTTCTGCTTCTGCCACTCCCATGGAAAACAAACAAACCCACAAACCAACCCCACCCTCCATCCCCGGTGATTCAGGAAGTTGCTTCTGCCGCTCTGCCATTCCCCATGCGTGTTACCGCAACAGTCCTACATGGCAACTAACTGGGACCACTTGGGCGGAGGGCTGCAGGTTCAAGGGATGGTTTGATGAGATAACATGATCTTGGTAACTAATTGACCATTCATTATCAGTGGGAAATAGGTCAATGGAGGGATGATAGGAGTTACTATAGAGAACTTTCTGGGTGTCTGGCTGGTGAGTCTTGCCCACATGCTCAGGGTTTAGCTGATCGCCATATTTGGGGTCGGGAAGGAATTTTCCTCCAGGGTAGATTGGCAGAGGCCCTGGAGGTTTTTCACCTTCCTCTGTAGCATGGGGCGCAGATCACAGCTGGAGGATTCTCTGCATCTTGGGGTCTTCAAAGTATTTGAAGGCTTCAATATCTGAGATATAGGTGAGAGGATTATTCTAGGAGGTGTGGGTGAGATTCTGTGGCCTGCACTGTGCAGGGGGTCAGACTAGATGAACATAATGGTCCCTTCTGACCTTTGAGTCTATGAGTCTATAAGTAGGTGAAGGAGCATGCATGGCCTATTCAGAGAAGAGGAGCAGAGCACTTCCAAGAAGCAAATATCCTTACATCGAACAGAGAGGCAAATCGGGGTGCTATGGGGCAGATACACCACTTTCCAGGGGCCCTGAGTGGGTCTCTTGAAGGTTTCCTAAACTCCTTAGCTAGCTGGAAGGACAAACCTTACTGACCTTTTCAAGACCATCTTCTTTGAGGCTGATGATGTCCAAGTCGAAATCTGTCCTGAGCCCACTGGTTTTGTTGAAGACAATACGCCCGGTTAATCCTTCCCATTGGGCCTGCGGAGAGGAGAGCGGGCAGTGCACCAGTTACTCGGCATCGTAAATCATCGTTTGCAACGGGCCATCCAGCGCTTTGTTTTAATTACTCCTCACACCGATCCCCTCTCACCGAGGAGCATGATTAATTAATAATCACCTCCATTGTTGCTCATGCTGCGGCACGGGCTGGCGCATGCCATAAATTCTGTTCTAGTCCTTGCCCTGCTTTACATTTGCACCTTTTGTGCACCACATCTATCTCAGGAGGGGTCCCCGGCATGCTTGTTCTGTGAAAAACGGGCTGTGTTTCTGCTCAGGTCTTTGTGCCGTGCACTGACAAGGTTAAGAGGGTGCCTTTCAGCCTTGGACAATGCCACTCTAGTGCATAAATTATTACTCCCTCACCCGCCTCCGTGTGCTGACTGTTTACTTGCCATTTGCAAGGTGCTTTGGGCTTGAAAAGCACCCCGAGTTTTCACTTCTGTTTTTTTCAGATGGAGGAAAAGTGAAGCACAAAGAGGTGAAGACTTGCTCAATGTGCAGACATTTGGATCCTGGCTCAAGTCTTTTCCCCCTTCAGGTGGGGGACTTGACTGGGGTCTCCGACCTCCCGGGTGAGTGCCCTAAATACAGGGCTGAATGTCATGAAGGAGGTGGCTGCGGGACTTGACTGGGGTCTCCGACCTCCCGGGTGAGTGCCCTAAATGTCATGAAGGAGGTGGCTGTCCTTTTCTCCCCACAAGCCATGCTAAAACGGCAAAGGAACCCTAACCCCAAAGAGGCCTCCTGGCTGAGAAGCAGAAGCAGAGCTGCCTGGCTTAGGCAGCTCCCTGCTTAGCCTGCTGGCCTTTGTGAATCTCAGTCTTTGGTTCCCATCTCTCCCCAGCCATTGTGCAGGCACCTTGGCACGTCAATCAGGCCTTGTGAATTGCAGTGGTCTTCTAAGTGCCAAAAAGGCATTTTACATCCCTAGTGCGAAACCTGGGGGTGTTGCAATACTCCCTCCCTCCCCACACGCAAACTGGTGCATTTGGCTGGTGCTACTATCAGCAAGTCTCAGGCCAGGTCCACCCCACAGACGAAGGTCGGCTTAAGATATGCAATTTCAGTTATCCAAGTAACGTAGCTGGAGACGATGTACCTTAAGCCGGGCTTCAGCACTGTCCCTACAGCAGAAAATCAACGGGAGAAATTCTCCTGTGGACTTTGCTTACTCCTCATGAGGAATAGGAGTTCTGGCATCGATGGAGGTGCCCTCAGCATTTGATTGAGTGGGTCTCCACTAGACCCACTCAATCAAACCCTGAAGGATTGATCACCAGTGTGTTGATCCTCCGGTAAGTGGAGACGCGGCCTCAGAGAGAGACATATTCAAACAGACTGAGCACAGGACTGAGAGCCAGGTGATCTAATGTCCACCTGGGGAGTGGTCACTTAGGCCTGGTGTACATGTCAAATGTTTTAGCAGTGCTACAAAGTTTCACTGACATAGTTGTGCTGGTAAAAGTGCTATATTAATATAAGTTGCTTTGTACCTATACAGCTTATTTCTCTTTGCCAAATTGGAACAAGCAATACTCTCGTAAGCACTTTTAGGTGTGTGCTGGTGTGCAGGGTTGAGGCTTTAATAACTCAAGTGCAGCAAAAGTGGCCAAGGGCCAAACGCTCTCAAGGAGTTGGGGGTTGTGACGCTCAACCTCCTAATGCCTGACATTTAATTAGTTAACCTGTTAAGTATTAAATTTAACTGGTTCACTGATTAAATGGGGGTAGGTGGAAAAGAGCCATTAAGGGTGACGCTTACTGGGTAGTCGGTTAACTGGTTACCCGTTAACATCTCTATTTTGCACCCGGCTTCCCTGCGCCCAGTTAGTCTGGTTCTTCCAGCCTCAGGTCCCCACCTTCAGGTGGCCCCCATGGGATCCTACCATACCCAGGTGCTTTGCCAGCTTCTTGGGGTCCTGCTGGCCCTCAGGGTCCTGTCACTTGCCAGCCCCATGGGCACTGCCGGCCCTCCAGGTCCTGCTGCCCACCACCCCTACCAGCCCTGGGATCCTACCGCCAGCCCAAGGCTCTGCAGCTACCCCCCAGCTGTGTCTCCAGCATGGGGTGGTGAGGGCTGCCAACCTTCCTGGACTGGACGGACCAGATGCCACGTGCTGCAGTAGAGTCCAGTTGGTTGAATCCAAGGGTATGTCTACACTACCCTCCTAGTTCGAACTAGCGGGGTAATGTATGCATACCGAACTTGCTAATGAAGCCCGGGATTTGAATTTCCCGGGCTTCATTAGCATAAAGCCGGCGCCGCCATTTTTAAAAGACGGCTAGTGCGAACCCCGTGCTGCGCGGCTACACGCGGCACAGGCTAGATAGTTCGAACTACGTAGCCATTCCGAACTATCTGTACACCTC